CGGCCCTCGCAGGACCGGACGAGGCATTGCAGCCGCTGCGCTGGGCGCTCGCGAGGACCGCCGTTGTGAGCAGCTCGACTTTCCGCCCAAACTGGGGGAGCCAGACCGCGAGCGCCTGTGAATCGTGTGCCTTCGGTGATCTCCTAATCCTCCGTGTCCTTCGAGTCCCTCCTGCTGCAGACAGGTCCCCTGTACTTCCGTACACGCGAGCCTTGCACGCCCACTGCAGTGCAGCCTCGGAGGCAGGACAGACCCCTGCGAGCGTAGACCGCAGCCGCAGCCCAGCTCCCCTCTCCCTGCACGCTCCTCCACCTACAGCTGCGCTGAGCTGCCGCCTCTGAACGCAAAGCAAACGCTGCAGTGACGGTTCCTGCGTCACCTTAACATCCAAAGTAAATGCTAACGTTTCGCGTATCTGTACCATCTCTCAATCGGCACTCTCCAAACGTTTGGCACGGTGTTCACTACCCTAATAAGACCTCAGCTTCCCTTGGGAGGGGTAAGTACCTCTGTTGAGGCAGCTGCATTTTCCTCTAATTCATTTGCATTGGGAATGGATAGAAAGGTTCGTTTACTTTTTAATCATCCCTGCGGGAAAACGACTTAATATCTGATGAATTCCTGCATGACAACTTTTTTCCTTATATCCCCCACTTCTTACCTCATTCGCCTTCCCTGAAGTAACTGCGTTTATGTGGAAGCATTTAGGTTATATCATCCTCACAACAGCTTGAAACTATCTCGGATATTTACATCTAAGGACAACACCAGATGCATTCTGTCCACCTGGAAATCTCTGTCGCCTTTCTCCTCTCCAATTCATAAAGTGCAAAAATTCCTTTAGCATAGAAATGAGCCATCTCGAAACCACAGTAGCCTCTGCTTAATTCAGTCATGTCACAATGTCATGTGGCTTCCAACTTCAACACCAATGACACATTTACTATTTTTTGCTTGGGGATCCCATGTTTTAAAATATTTCTGATGCATGTCACACTTAAAAATTAAAGCCAGCTGTTCCAGCTCCCCTTTCCATGCCTGAATTTAAAGCAAAGCTCGGCAGCGACAATTTTGCGGTCACCTTAACAATAAAAGTAAATGCAAACGTTTCCTGTATATATAGCATGGATAAAACCAGGAGTCTTCACACAGATTATGTTTCCAGCTGAAATCAAAGCACCATGACTCTTTTGTAAGCCTAGTAGTATTATCTTGGGGAAATGTATCATTTTTACTAGGCTTTTGGGAATATTCTAAATAACGTCTTATTCTCAAAGGTCAAGTTGTCCCTTTTTTTCTCATGACAAAGACTTAACAATATAGGAAGAGTGAACCACACACCTATCAAGCAGCACAAGAAACTTTAATGGTGGAGGAAAGTTTGGACTCAGAAACTCGAGAACAATATTTGGCATGTCAAGGAGAATATCATGTATGTTCTTAGCATTATGTGCTTGATTTTACTACTCACCTGTCTGGACTGCTAAAATCTAGAGAAACTGGCTCATGCCTGTCATCCCAACACTTTGGGAGGCCAAGGTGGGCGGATCACCAGGTCAGGAGATCAAGGCCAGCCTGACCAACATGGTGAAACCCTGTCTCTACTAAAAAATACAAAAATAAGCCAGGCGTGGTGGTGGGCACCTGTAATCCTAGCTACTTGGGAGCCTGAGGCAGGAGAATCGCTTGAACCTGGGAGGCAGAGGTTGCAGTGAGCCGAGATCGTGCCATTGCACTCCAGCCTGGGTGACAGAGCGAGACTCCATCTCAAAAAAAAAAAAAAAAAAACACTAGAGAAACTGGGTTGTGGGCCCAGACCTGAGTTTCATTGAGTGATAACTTTTTCACTTACTTTAGTCATTCACTGTATGATTTTGGGAGTCTCTGGACCTCATACTCATCTTCAAAACCAGAAAAAAGAAGTAATAATAGTATGAAAAGTATACTAAGTTATTCCTAAAATTCCTTCCAGTTTCAAAATCCTCTAAGCACAAGTCATTTTTCTCCACATTCACCTTCTCTCACTAGAAATAACTTCTACAATCTCTGCTCATTTGTGGGAGTAAACTACAGAGACGATCCTTAGGTTAAGTTCTTAATTTTATGGAAGAAAATTAATGCAGTTAAGAGTTTAGAGGCATTTTGTACTTCAGGTATTTATAGGACAGATAAAAATCCCAAATGTATAAAATCCTCCCTACCACTAATATAATAAAGATTCTCGGCCGGGTGCGGTGGCTCACGCTTGTAATCCCAGCACTTTGGGAGGCCGAGGTAGGTGGATCACTTGAGCCCAGGAGTACGAGACCAGCCTGGGCTACATAGTGAGACCCCGTCTTAAAATTTAAAAAAAAAAAAAATTCTCTTTTATCCTGATCTTCTCCCCCAAACCAAAGCCTTATCCCCAGTCTCTATAGTGCAAAGGCCATGCTGCAGTATTTCATTAAACAGTCCTAGCTGCTGTGTTTCAGACTTTCAGGTTTCCCCAAGGGCTGAGAGTCCTGGGGCCTAGGAGCAATCCCCAGATTCCAGAGGGAAAGGCAAGAAAGCAAGAGTGAAGCATTGTGGGTAATGGTAGGTCTTTTCATACACAAAACAGAACAAAATAGCAACGGAGACACACACAGTAAAAATAAAGAGGAAGACAAGCCAAGAAATCAGAACTGGGTCCTGTCCAAGAAGTCCATCAGCCAACCACAAGGGCTAGGGCTAAAAGGTCAACCCTGCAATTTTCTGGGGCAGGAGAGCTAGCTATTCGTTTAATCATATATTCATTGAGCGTCAGGCATTGTAATAGGCCCTGGGGATTAAAAAAAAAAAAAAAGTGGTGAGCAAGACGGATGCACACCCTATCTTCACACAGCTTGAGGAGCAAAGAATATCTCAGCACCTACCGCGAATAAGGCCCTGTGCTGGACAGGGCATTCAGCCTTTGTCTGTGTGCGGCAGTTCCGCAGCTTCACCTAAGTCAAAACAAACATGGAATCCAAGAAGCTGCCCTTTTAAAAGACTTCGTTTCACACAATGTAGGTAAAACAACATCCAGGATTGCCAGATAAAATGCAGGGCCAGCTAAATTTGAATTTCAGATAAACAACAGACAATTGTTTAGTACAACTACGTCCCAGGTTTCAGATAAACAGTGATTATTATTATTTTTTTTTTACTACAGTAAGTTTCATGTAATATTTAGGACATATTTACAACAGAGAATCATTTCATTGTGTGAAATAAAATAATTCAAACTTAAAGCTGTTGAAACTTTACATTATTCTGAGCCTTGAGAGGGACGTGGCTGCGTGGCACGAGTCCAGCAGCTGCAGCTGTAACTTCTGGTCTTTTCTGGAAGTGCTCTGGAATGATTGAGGAGTGCCAGAGATAAGACCCCTCCGAACATGACACCCCCTCACAGAATATTAACGGAATCTTGTTGGAATGTAGCAAGTTATACTAATCAAATCGTTATAACTGTTTCTGCCTGTATAAGTGAAATCTTAGCCTCCTCACTCTGGAGCACTGACCCCAGTCCTCTGGAATCGTGTTTCTGGATGGCTATCCTCAAGCTTTGTGCTGCAGTAAACTCTATACTTAGTCATATTTTCTGAATCTCATTATTGAAGGTTGACATTTGTTTAACTGAAATTCAGTTTCAATTGGAGTCTTATATTTTATTTTATTTGCTAAATCTGGCAACCTTCTCAACCTCAAACTTTTCTTTCTTTCTTTCCTTTTTTGAGACAATCTCACTCTATTGCCCAGGCCGGAGTGCAGTGGCCCGATCTTACTGCAACCACCACCTCCTGGGTTTAAGCAATTCTTTTCCTCAACCTCCCCTGTAGCTGGGACTACAGGTACACAGCACCACACCCAGCTAATTTTTGTATTTTTAGTAGAGAGAGCATTTCACTGTGTTGGTCAGGCTGGTCTCCAACTCCTGACCTCAGGTGATCCACCCACCTCGGCCTCCCACAGTGCTGGCATTATAGGCGTGAGCCACCGCAACCAGCTTAACCTCATCATTTTCTGTTAACACTTTCTGGCTCCTTTTTCATAATGTGCACAGAAATCTACACTTCTTCAAAGGTAGTAAGCACAACTCTTACACACTTTACCCCTTAATTTTTTATTAGTTTGATTTGCCTTTTTTTTTTTTTTTTTTGAGATGGAGTTTTGCTCTTGTTGCCCAGGCTGGAGTGCAATGGCGCTATCTCACCTCACCGCAACCTCTGCCTCCCAGGTTCAAGCGATTCTCCTGCCTCAGCCTCCTGAGTAGCTGGGACTACAGGCGCCTGCCACCACACCTAGCTAATTTTTATATTTTTAATAGAGACAGGGTTTCACCGTGTTGGCCAGGATGGTCTCGATCTCTTGACCTCGTGATCCGCCCACCTCAGCCTTTCAAAGTACTGGAATTACAGGCATGAGCCAGCGTGCCCGGCCTAAATCCCCCTTTTCTTAGCTTTGAGATATATTTGATAATAAAAGACACACACTGAAAGTATGCAGTTTATACAGGTGTACAGGATATATACCTGTGAAAACACTACCATAATCTGAATAATAAATATCATTATATATTCATTATTTTCTAAAGTTTTCTTGCTCACTTTTGTAATCCTTACCCCCCACCTACTATCTAGGCAACTACTGATCTGTTTTCTGTTGCTGTAGATTAATTTGCATTTTCTGGTATTTTTAATACATGGAATCATACAGTATATACTTTTTAACTGGATTGTTTCACATAGCATAATTGTTTTTCATCCGTATACCTTTTCTTGTTCTTGCCTTATTGCACTGACTGGGGACCCGAGGATCATGTTTAATTGGAGCAGTGAAAGTGAACATCTCTGCCTTGTTCCCAACCCCAGAAGGAAAGCGTTTAGTCTTTCACCATTAAGTATGATGCTAATTTTTTACAGATGCCCTTTATTAGATTGAGGAGGTTCCCTTCTACTCCTGATTTGCTGAGAGTTAATCACAAATAAATGCCGAGTTTTAGCTGATGCTTTTTCTGTATCTAGAGATTATCAAAAGGTTTTTCTTGTAAAATTTATTAATATGGTGAATGACATTGACTATCAAATTTTGAATGTGGATTTTCTTTGTTTTTGAATGTTGATGTTCCAAATATTGCATTTTTGGGATAAACCTACTTGGTCATGGTGTCTTATCCTTTTTACATATTGTTGGATTTGACTTGCTAATATTTTGCCAAGAATTTTGTTTTTTCATGAGTGACACTGGTATGTAATTTCCTTTTCTCGTAATTTATTTGTCTGTTTCTTATGTTAACTCTTTTGCTTTTCAAAAGAGGATATCTAGAAATCATACTGATGTAATTAATATGTATTATACTGGTATATTAAAGGAGTATGGTATAATTTATATTATATGATACTAGATAATATGTATTAGATATAACTATTAGCTAATATTAGTTATTTTTTTATTCATTTTTTAGACAGAGTCTTGCTCTATCACACAGGCTGCAGTACA